TGAACTTCACAACAGGAGTGCATGAAGTCAGACTGTGATTGCTGCATTTAGTAGCTGCTGCTGGGCTTTATTTCTATTAATTCTCTACTCCTTGTATAAACCCCTTTATATCTCTGTCCTTCCTAACATTCTGTGACAATAGTTTCTGCAATTTAATGATGGACCTTGTGGTAAAAGTCGAAAAGTTACTGAGGCTTGGTTTAGACCTACAGTCTAACAATATAATGATCTATCTCCGTGTTGTCATGCTTTGAGAAACAAGGAATATTTCCTTACACACATCTTCAGAGCAATTTTGTATGATAAGATGCAACACTTGAATGCAACATCATTTTGTTGAAGCATTCAGTCCAAAGGACACTGACTGCTAAAGAGCCTAACAATATCCCTGGACAAAACTTTTTAAAATTACTCTTCCTAGGGGCTCACAAATCATTCTTAAATCAGATACAGTATTAAGAAGCAAACAATTACATGAAAGAAATAGAATTGGCACACCAAGATCCTGCAGACCTGTGTAACTGTGACAGACAGAAGGAAAACAAATTAGTTCAGCATGTTACTGAACAGACTTAATTTTAAGTATTACTAGTTTAATCTAAATTTTAATAATACATTACTTCACACAAACCTTCATTTATTTGTTATTGAAAACATACCATAACTCATTTGTGACAGATTACTATAGATTTTTGAACTTCCACTAGTGCATTTAAGATAAATGAGTTTTAATGCTTACTTTCAAGTTATTAAAAAATTTTTATAATACCAACATTAATTTTTAACAAATTAGATTATATTGACTTCTAAAAGAAGGCGTCTTTTGGAAGAATTATCATTTAAACTGTGTTCAGGAACCATTGTAATGATTTCCCACTTAAAGTTAACTCCCCTGTGAATCCATGGAAGACAAAACAAAACCTGATCTATGGCAGCTACAATTTGCAATGTTGTCTATATACAACCTGACCTATAGATTAATTCTGAAGGGCTAAACGGCGATTTTCTGTCTATACTTTAAATTCTTTTGAGGATGAAGTTCTACTATCTTATCCAAATTAAATTACCTGTTATAGGTTTGTGGCATGTTCTACATTTGCCCTGGCAGCCAAGAAGGCAAACCGCATCCTGGGGTGCATCAAACACAGCATGACCAGATGGTGAAAGGAGGAGAATATCCCTCTGTGTTCAGTGTTGGTGCGGCCTCACCTTCAGTACTGTGTGCAGCTCTGTGCCCCACCATTTAAGAAGGATGTGAAGGTCCTTGAAGGCATCCAGAGGAGGGCAACAAAGCTGGTGAAAGGGCTGGAAAGAATGTCCTATGAGGAGCAGCTAAGGACTTTGTGCTTGTGTAGTTTGGAGAAAAGGAGGCTGAGGGTGGTCTCGTTGCTTTCTACAGCTTCCTGAGGAGGGGAAGTGGAGAGGCAGGTGCTGAGCTCTTCTCCTTGGTACCCTGTTATAGGATGCATGGGAATGGTTCAAAGATGCACCAGGGGAGGTTTAGACTGGACATTAGGAAGCATTTCTTTATGGAGAGGCTGGTCAAACACTGGAACAGGCTTCCTAGAGAGGTGGTCAATGCCCCAAGCCTGTCAGTGGTTGAGGCATTTGGATAACGCCCTTAACAACATGCTTTAGCTTTCGTCAGTCCTGAAGTGGTCAGGCAGTTGGACTGGATGATTGTTGTAGGTCCTTTCCAACTGAAATTATTCTGTTCTATTCTATTCGCTTCCAGGGATTTACGCTACAAAACTCACTTCACCTGGCCTATGAACTAGACTGGAAACAAGACCAGCAAACTGAAATGCCAGAAAGTTTATTCCGTGAATTTGTAGCATTTTTCAACCCCTCAAAGCACATTTCAAAAGGTGAAGTACTATGTAGTTCATAATGTCTGACTACCTGAAAAATACAAAAAGAAAGGTCAAAATGGACCCATTATAGATCTCTCACCTACATTTCTTTTAAAAAACTAGAACTCGGTCATTATTATTTTCAAAATGTCACAATTTTTATCTTATTTAATGCTTTTAGAATGGAAGACATGAAAAATATGATTTTTATACTGTGTAGTCAGAACACCTGAACTCAAATACTAATGGCTCTATTTGATCTTTCATTACTTTCAGTAATTAACAGACAGTAAAATGCCAACTAATTTATTTTAATTGATAACATGAGAAAACACAGCATTCTTGTGACAAACTGTCCCTAACAGTGCAACAAATAGATCGAATAAAGATAATTCACTCACCTATGGAAGCATAACTACAGACTCACAGACCGTATTCTCTATCACCTGTCTCATGGAGCATTAAATGAAAATACCTTCCAGCTCAATAATTGTGAGTAACAGATAGAGTTCGTGCATTTCACTGGTCCTCCAGATAAAATGTCCAACACAACACAGCTCTCTATATAACCACCACCTCTCCGCAAAACCATTATATCCACAAACAGCCCCTAAGTGCTAGAACCCCATCATATCTAAATGATGATTCCCACTTTTCTGTACCATGGAACTGAAACAACTGCTCTGCAGTGAGACTGGATGTTTTCTTAGCAAGAAGGAATTCTGATTGATCAATGGAGCAGCAAAAGGCTTAAAGTGGATTTTTTAGCGTACAGGCATATATACTCCACCTCAAAGACTTGATATTAGGAACAAGGATGTTCAAATGTTCCTCTAAGGTCAGTATATATTAGTTGTGCATCACATTTCACCCACAGTGAAAAACAGTCAGAACAGTAGGGAAGAATCCCATACTTTCAGATACATATTTGTACATTTGTTACTTTCAACTTCATTCAGAGCATCGTTTTATGGTGATCACAAAAAATTCAACATATAAAAATATATAGACATAAAATCTCAAGATATCAAAGCCAATTTTTTTTGGTTTATACTAAGGACAGTTTTCAGACATCAAATAGAAGTTGAAATCTTCTAGTTATGTTTTCTATGCATACTTTCAATTACCAGTTGTCTGTTTCAGTCACAAATATCCTAGTCACATACCTGCTTGCAGTATCGTTATAAAAATAGTAAGTTTTAGAACAATCTTACCAGCTTTGCTCTTTTATCTTATTGTCTAAGCTTTTGCTTTACCCTAGTGTTATGAAAAGTGGCAAGTATTACTTTTATTTCCCACACATACACAATTAAGGGACAATAATATGTAATAAAATCAAGTTACAATAGTCCAATAATTTATTATTTAGCTAAGAACTAGTTGTTTCTACAGTTAAAACAAAAAGCTCTGGGACAATTTTCATGTGTTCAAATAGAAAAAATGCACATCTGAATTACTGAGATTACTATTTATATCAATAAATTTTTGTAACCTGTTTTACCAAAGACAAATTAGGATGATCGTACAGTATTCTGTACCCATGAGTGATTCACTAACCTACAGGCTTATTAGTACTCTGCACACACTCTCACAGCTATTGTGTCCCATACCTTTGTCCATTTGGCCAAGAACATCCACATAAGTTAATGAAAAGTTTAGAGTCTTCAGGCATTTGAACGTAGAGCATAAATAATTTCCTGCAGTTGGAATTTAGATTATTAAATGTCCTCTGTGTGATCAAAAACTACATTCAGTTTCAAAAATTCAGACAAATATGTTAATAATATAGAACAGAGAAAAGTAATAATTGAAGTTGCTTTATATTGCTATCTCTTTCTGACATTGCCACAGAAATGAATGAGGAATACTGAATCATGAATAACAGTCTTATATGTATTACAGCACTAATATCAATGACATCAAGGAACAAGTACCTTCTTAAGGACACAGGTCTATAAAAGGCATCACTCAGTAGCACACACTGTTCCTATGTTTTGAGTTCTTTAAAGTGATAGCTAGTTTTAGCTGTAGATGTCCATAGGTTTTAGACATCAAATTATCTTCTTACTGTCTATTATTTCAGATATCTTGCTTCAACAGAAATATCAGAATTTACTTTCATTTCTCAAATTGAGATGACTTGGAATTTTTTAATAAATCAGAAATTATATCAACTGCAAGAGGAAAAAAAAAAAGACACAGACATATTCTATAGTACTCAACAGCCCAACAGTGCTGCTGTTATCTAGGGCTCATTGAGACCACACTCAAATCCTTGACTTGAATTGCAGCTGCCAAGTACTTCTTAAGTGTTCACTACACCAGACCAAGAATCATTATCTAAATGAATTGAGTCTCAGTCTTCCATATTGTCAGAGAGCTCCCAGGGTCATTCATATCTTAGTGTGGGAAACTAGGGATTTACCCTCTCACCTCTATGCCAATTCTATTCTGTACCTGGGAAAAAGAAATCCTTTCAAACAAGCATTTTCATCAAAATAATACTGTTCCCACAAAAACTTTTGATTTACATCTAGTAGTAATTTATTTCCAACCAGCCCCAGTAGGAAAGTCTATCTGTCAGAGTAAACCAAGTATTGAAGTACTCTGGAGTCTATTCTTACTACAATTTTTTTCTGATAGAATAATTTACTCCAAATCAGTTCCACCATATTCCCTACAGATTCCTACAACCTGCGGTCAAGGCAGTAATCTATGAGGGATCTTTGTCTCAAAAAAAAAAAAAAAAAAAAAACCAAAACCCAAAACAAACAAAGAAACAACCCTAAAAACCCCTACTTTCATTTACCAACCACAGTATGAAACAGCAGCTGGACTCTCTAAATGAAAAATCACAGTCCTATTACCTTGTTGAAAAAATGCTGTACAATTACCTGCTTGATACGTAGCAGAGATATTCTAAGAAACCAGCATAATTTGCACCCATGTACCTTTCATGAGAGAGTGAGCAGTTTTGTGTTACATTTCTCCTCTCATTAAAAAGGAGTCAGGTGCTGACATCGCTCTTAAGAACAGATAGAAAGAAAACACTAGAAAGATTTCGTTGTCTAGGATACTGATTTAAAATCCACTGAAAACCTGCACTGTTCCAATAAAGACTCAGAGACTAAGGCTTAAAATACTTACTTGATAATGTCTCCTTCAAGAGCAATCACTCGTTTAATGATCTTCTGTTCAGGGTTTCTAGGAGACCTGATACAGGGGATAAGGTTATACAATTAGTAATGTTCCCATTGTTTTAAGAAAATGAAAAGAAATTCCACAAAGAAATAGACACTATTAAAGTCATTAGGAGATTCCATGTTCTCTTTGGTATACCATCAATCATGATGTTCCACCCTGAAGTGAAGCTACTGTAAGCACTCTCATTGCAAATCATCATTGAAAAGCAGATGCTGAAAATGACCTGCTTACAAACACCACAAAAATCAACATACCTTTTATCATGAAAAATACACTCCACAACATTGAAAGTAGAATGTCCCACTACCAATGAAGAGGGTACCTTTGCAAACAGATGAATGCACTAAAACCTGAATTCCCCATCAAACATTAACATCATATTGTGTTTAAACATTAATGTAATTCATTCACTTTGGAAAAAAATATCTTCCTATGTTATATTAATACATATCAGTAATTTAGGTAAACCTTGCCTAGGGAATTGTGGACGTTTAAGAAAAGTTGTAAAATCTTCTGAATTTCAGCTGTATCCAAAGGTGCTTAATACAATACCATGTTTTCACTTCAAGTTATTTCCCTATAAGCTTTCTTTTCTAAATACTTGACCTCTTTTTTTTTCATTCTTCGCTTTTCGCTGTTTACCTATGCAAACTTAGTAGAGTGTTTTCTCGTTATTTAAAAATTTCTTTTCATTTGCTGCTTGTATACAGGAAAGTCAGTAAAGGAACCAATGGTTCTGATTTTCTGCTGATGCTTGAGTTCTAACAGATGAGTACCTTTGAGCTCACCTCTGGTCACCTGGTAGCACACCAAGATTACATTTCCTTAAAAAGCAAAGCTGAGATGAATCTGGATGAAAAACTTGTCCACACTGCTGCATGACTAAAGGCATTTGCTGTTCACTTTCAGTTCCAAAAGTTAAAAATAAAAATAGTTTCAGGCTTATTCAATTTTTTTAATACGAAGCCACAAAAGTTTTCCAAACATTTTAAAAGTGGTTTGGTTTTCTCTGTGTGTGTCAAGATATTTGAAATATATTTACATTTCAATGTAATGAAAAAAAATTCAAGAAACATAATTTTGAATTTGAAAATATCAAATAGTTTCACTTCACAGTTCACCAAGCCTGAAACCCATATTTTCAAAAAGCAGTGTGGAGCAGTGAACATAAATAAGGACCATAATTTTCTTCACTAGTCATCACGAGAATTTTCAAATCATGACATTTACAGTAATATATTATTTAGCATTAATGTTACCCGAAGAGATGTATATTCAAGTTCAGTCTTGTCTTTCATGTTCTTTATCAGGCTGAGAATACACATTTAAATAATATTTTACATGTCAGTCTTGAGAGGAAATAATAAAGTTTTAGATGCTCATATGATTCAAATATCTGAAGTGTCCACAGTACTTTCTGATGCTGCTCCCTAGCAGACTTCAATGCACACTTATTTGAGCATTAACCACCTCTCAGTGACAGCACAGTCTAGAAAAAACAACACCCCTTTATTACTACAAGCTACTATAAAGTAAAAATATTTTCAAAATTTACTGCTAATTGAGTTAATTTGTAATTCATATAGGCTCAGATTGTAATATTCTATATGTAAAATTTAAGTAATGGAAATAATATACAATGTATGTAATGAACTGTACATTTCTTAAAGACTGAATGAAAACAAATTTTAAGTTTGCTCTTTCAAAATTCTGTTCTGGTTTAACACCTTACTTCAAAGGTTCTTTGAAATTCCCCATGTAAGCATTTTCACTTGATTATTTTGTATATAATACTGTAATTACTGAGCTCTCCCTTAATTTGCCTTCCTTGTGCCAAAAAATTGTAATGACCTTGAATAAACATCACTTTAAACTTGAGATATGAGTATTCGTTCTAAGAGTGGTTACTTTTCTGCCAGTAATGACATATTTAACCAAAACATATAATTTCTCAGAAAGACTGCAAGGAATTCCTTGTTACTATAAATCACGAATATTTTAAATATTTGAAGCCAGAATAGTTTAAAAATAAACTTTATGCTAATGTCCTAATTATAGTTCATGAAAATGGCAAAGGACTGGTAAGAGAGGGAGTGCCAGGCTCGAACTGCCCACTAACATGGGTGCTTTTAAACAAAGTATTTTCAAGAGGCGATGAGAATGTTTCTTCAAGAGCCACAACGATTGAACAGGAGGTAAGAGAGACTAGTTCTGAAGTGATGGATATTGATGCCTTCCTGAAAGGAGTTTAGTGTAACTCTGGGATTTCATTGATTATGGAAATCACAAAACCACAGATAAAGGCAATTTCTGTCTTTGAAATTCCACAGCCAGTATAGAACAAATTAAAAGATGAAGGAGAAAAAAAAGCCCCAAATCGTGTAACCAGTAATTGCTTAGTACTTCTCTGTCACTGGTATGAGGCTGAGATAACAAACAATGACCCTTGAAAATGGGAGTTGTTTAAAACAGAAGGAAACAGAAAAACAGAAGAAACTGATGATTTACCTGTTTGTACCTCTCCTAAATTACACTATGCTTTTTCATTCTCCTTATATGAAAGGTCATATTCAGGCATGTTCCTTTTAAGTGATATTGTATAGGAAAAGATGAGATTTCTTACATACAATGAATATGTTTGGTCTTCCAAAGACGGCACTCAAAAGATGTAAATATCAGTAATATGAATTAGTAACAACCATCCACACATTTACCAGTCAGATGTGTACATGATGTTTCACAGAGCAGCCACCATTCCTTGACCATTTTCTAATTCAGCCTCTTGAAAAGTTAAATTTTCCTCAGTAAAAATATTTCCTCGTCTACATATAATAATTTTTGACTGTGCATGAATTAGGGACAGAAGTGCAAGTAGAAACAGTCAGAATGACTATGACAATATCAAGCACACCACAGATATTAATGCACAAGTAGCACATCAGGAATACACTAGGAAAAACAAGACTGGAAAATAAATCCATTTCTTAAATGCACATTGATTTCTACACCACTCTTAGTCACTTTTCCTTTTTTCATAAAGTGGAAAACAGGCAAGTCCTGCAGTGTGTCCCTCAAGCCATCAAGTTTGAGGATAACTCATCATTACCAGCTTCTCTTTAAACAGCAGTAGTCTCTGTTCAAACACTTCAGGAGAATGACCACTGTATAATGCAAAAGAATGCAGTGGTCTGTGTAGCATCCAACACTGAGAAACATTTTTTATTTTATTGGAATATTTTAAACAATTCTTTAAACTTCACCTACAGATCACTTGATGGCTGGCTGCAAATAATAGAACAAAAGAGCAAGATCCTCTCTGTCTGAAATGCCACTTGACAATGGGACATTTCACTCTGCCTTAGCAATAAATTCTAATTTGTTCTAATTTGCTTATGCACAGTGGGATGCAGAAATCCCAGCCTCATGCACAAAGACATGAATCATGACATCAAAATCCAGATTCAGAGTTTTAAGATAAACAATTTACCAAGTGAAAATTAGACATTTGATATGTATCTGTTTGTGGTTTTCCAGATGCAGTCTTAGCAACTGAGCATAAGCAACCTGTCACAGTTAGCTGCTGCTGGTAGCAATCCTAGCTCCTTCTCCTAATTGTATATGTTTGCATCATTCTGAATTGACTTTCAGCTATATGGTCCTCATCCACGCCCAGCTTCCATAAAAAACTAACGAGCAATTCCACCACAGTAAAAGAATTAAAACAAATGCCCATGTCATCAGGACATCATTAACTTTGGATTAAAACCTCTCACGTTTGGCCATCTGTTGAAAAGACATCGAGAGAGTTAGGTTAAGTAGAGGTGCAAGTGGATTACCCCAGTGTTTAGGACAGATTCAAATTCCTTATCTTTCCCAGGCAAGTACTTCAAGATACAATATTCTAACCTCCAGTCTCCACACTATTCTGGGGCAGGTCTCGTTTTATCTATCCAATTGATACTGCTGGAAAAAAAACAAAAGCAGAATACACAGGAACACCCTTCTCCCTACACACACATTTAGTTCTAAACTTAAAAGACGTACTTTGGCAGAAAAGCTATAGAGTTCAGTTTCCTTTTTACAAGAAAAAAAAATGTTTTTCAGAGCTGAAGACACACTGCATGTCCTCATGGAGAGAAAACATCGAGAGGATGAAGACTGGTCAGATGGCTTCAGCCGGGTTTTATCAGCGATGCATCCCCCAAACCACAGTCTGAAATAAACTAATAATTGATAAGTTCATAAGAGAGGCAGTGCCTTGAGGAGAGATAGAATAATAGTTGAATCACTATTAGAAAGTGACACTTTGTTCTATTTCGGGAAAGCACTGACAACCTTTCCTAGTTATTACCTCAATATTGCTTCTTCAATAAAAATGAAACATTTATTTATTCTTTTATTTTTAAATATATGCCCCTACAAAAAAATCCATATATATATGCACACACACACACATCTATATAGACACACATAAATTTATACCAGCATCCATTCTTCTATCGTCAACCCTGTATTGAACAGTATGGGATTGCAGTACTAAAAAACATGTTCACCAGGAAAGACAGGAGGAACGATACAGCCAGCAGGAAAATCCACTGTTTAGCAAGTGATTGTCAGATAAAAATGCTGACAATTCTCTGCAGGCTTTCTCCTTTCCTGACTGAGCAACGGAGTACTTCAGGCACAATATTGATCCTAAACTTTCCCTTTCCATCGTTTGGATTATTTATTTGCTCTAACGGATACTGCTTAGCACAATTTGAAATAACTGCTCCACAAGCTAATGAACATTTGATTAGTCACGGAATTTTCATAGTATTTCCACTTTTTGTATGTGTTATTTGTCCTTTCTTTTATTCTTTGAGTTGCCTAACTATATTCTTCTCAAGAGTGCCCATAGCAAATTACGCTTAAAAGCTTGAAACTGAAATTTCTACAGCCTTTTCTAGAGAAAGAGAGAGCGCTTTTTAGGCTATATCCAAAGATCCCAGGAAGATAGGTGAAGGGAG